GTGCTCTCACCTTCTGCAGAGCTGACAGGGATGATACCTGTGATAGACACCATCCTGTCTATCACTTTTCTAACTCTGCCCCTATTTCTGGAATTTCCTTCTTAGCCACATCCTATCTCAGAAGGATTCGCCCCATTCACAGCGGTGTGGGAGTTTTCTACAGGCTCACAGCATCAAGATTCAGCCATACTACAGGGAGCAGCATTACACAGGAGCACAGCACACAACTGACAGTCACCACTCTCTCCCAAACCCACCTGCATGCTGAGTCCCATCCACCCCAAGCAGATGGCTCCAGCACCCACTACCTGCAGCTCCTTCCTAGAACAGCTCAAGGAATGACTTAATGCACTGACAGAGCTATTCTCAAAATGAAAACAACAGGGAACAATATTGCTGCTGGATCTGGAAAACACATAATCCACCTAATGCCACGGAAGAACATTAGTAGGATTGCTTGGAGTATCTTTGGAAGAAACTTCTAGATCAAAGATGTGCTTAGCTCTTTCCCCATTCTTCTCAAGCCTTCTGGATTCCTTCCAGTCATTACTTGCATTCCCTGCTTCTATACCTTGCTCTCAAAACTGATGTCTCCCTTGCCACAGTCTGCAATAAGCAGCCTCTCCTCCCACTTGGCAGCTTTGGAGGAAGCCAAGGTCCATTCTCCTCTGCCCCTTGGCCAGTCCAGAAAACCAGGACTATTCTCTCCTCTTCCTTTATATAGCATCCCAGTGTTGACCAGACTGTGTGATCCCATGGGTGGCTGGTAGAGAACTATGGGAATTCCATGGCGATGGTGCCTGGGATTAGGAGATACTCTAATCACCATGTCCTAGCCACCAGCCCCAGCAGTGGGAAGAGGAGGAGCTTTTGTCACCCTGTAATGATGCCGACAGATCCATTTAAGCCTCAGAGATATCTCTGACCACTTGCAAATGCTCTCCTGACCAGGGAGCTGGGACAGGGGAGGGAAGAGAAATCTCTGCAGTGTCCCGAAGTTCTGGAGAGCATGGACTTGCTGTAAGGACAGACACAGGAAGAATAGTTAGAGGTGGCCAAGCTCATTAACAGCCACCCGCTCACACCCCGGGCTGCTATTCCTTACTCCAGAGACTTCAAAGACTTACCTTTGACAGCCTTCTACAAACACGAAGTCCTCAACCTTATCTCAATGCATGAGATAAGAGAAGCTGAGGCAGAGGAAAGCACACGACTCCCCAGGAGAACCACAGCTAGAAACTCACAGCTCCTCCAAAGAGACCATTAGCTCCACTTCTCCCCTAACACTGAATTACTGCAAATATTCAGAGTTCTTGTGTTCTAGGTGAGCAGTTATGTTGTGCCTTGTCACAAGTGGACAAGTCGCATTGCTTCTCTCCTTGGAAGAGAAGCTGAACCTCTCAGAGTCCCCTTCTCCCCCATGTTTGTAAGAAGCCCAAGATAAATAAACAGTAATAATGATTTTAAAGGTTTTTAAGAAAAGCACCTAGCATTTCTGTTCTGAGTTTTCATATTTTAATCTCTCTCCTTGTAATATAATTCCACAATAAATCCTGGAGAAGAGAAGTCTCTGGGGAGACCTTAGACCAGCCTTTCAGTACTTAAAGGGGGCTTCTAAGAAAGATGGAGGCAAACCTTTTAGCAGGGCCTATTGTGATAGGACAACAGGTGATGGTTATAAACTAAAAGAGAGTAGATTTTAAACTAAAAGAGGGTAGATTTTAAACTAAAAGAGGTAGATATAAGGAAGAAATTTTTTACAATGAGGGTAGTGAAACACTGGCACAGGTTGCCCAGAACAGTGGTAGATGCCCCATCCTTGGAAACATTCAAGCCCAACTTGAACAGGGCTTTGAGCAACCTCATCTAGTGGAAGGTGTCCCTGCTTGTTGCAGACGGGTTGAACTACATCATATTTAAAGGTCTCTTCCAACCCAAACTATTCTATGATGCTATGATAAAATTCAGTGGTCCACAAAAAAATTCAGCAAAACCAGAAAACTCAGGACCTACAACTTCTACATAAAGGCACCAAAAAACCACAGGCAAAAAACCCCTAAAAACCAAGAAAGCATATATATGGTTAGAAGGAAAAAAACAAAATGAAATGTTTCTTGGGCCTTCTTCAACATAACACCAAGAATCAATGAAGAAACATAATGCCATTTGTTTTCTGGTGCTGATCACGTTCAACAGAAAAGTCACTCCCTGTACAACATCTGCCCTGCCTCCAGTTTTCATAAGCAGCACGTAGAGCATCAGTGACCTTGCAGTTGCATGCTGTGACAATAAATAAAGTTAGAAACCTTATTTGCATTAGAAACACACAACTCCAAACCCTTTGGCCAACGTTGGCCATGAACGCACATGCAGTAACAACCAAGCAAGGGAGAAAACACCAGGTTTGGGGCTCCTGAGAAAGCTCCATCAGATGATTTCTGCTCAGAAATGCTGCCATGGGTGCAATTTCTGACAAATGAATGAAAAGACACAAGGCTGCTCCTCTCAACCCTGTTGGTTAGTCTGTTTGCTTGCAAAACAACCAGCTTCAAGGTGGGGAGCAAGCCCCATCTCTGGAGCTCTTGTGTCCATCACCAGCTCCAGCTGAGAACAACAACCTGCTCCTGCCTGTAATACCCTTTGTAGGTGATTATGGAAAACAAAAAGGACTAAATTCAAAGCAGGTTTTCAACTGGGGTGGATCCAAAACTGCTGACTGAGGAGAACAAAGCCAGATGGCATATACTGCTATTGTTAGGGATTGTGCAGTGTAAGGCAATAGGAAATGAGCAGAGAAAAAGAGCCGGGCTGGTCCCATGGCTCCCCTCTTGCCAAATGAACATACTGGGGTGACTGTGAAACAATCAGTTTATGGGTCTCATTCCCTTCCACCCCCAGACTGAACTTAAATATTTGTATAAGCCCAGGCATAACTTTTATCTAACGTTTTCCTTGGGGTTTACTAGATGTTTAGAGACTCAAGCTAAAAATCATTCCCTCAAACTCTTGCCACAAAAAGAGCTGAAACTATGATACTAATTAAAACCACACTCCTTGGTATCAAGAAGCTGTGCTATTATTTTCTCTTTTTGCTCATGAGAAGCTGTTAATATGGGCAATGCGTCTGGAACATTTTCCTTCCAAACGCCATGCTCCATACCCCCTCCTGCTCAGGTCGGCTGGTTTGTGAACTTGTCAGCAGTCTGGGGCAGGAAGGCTCATACTGACAAGAATAGATTTATTTATTTTTTTAATAACAACCCATTTGCCAGCTTAACATTATGAAAAGCACATCAAGAAAAAAACAACACAGCAGCTTGATGCTGCATGAAAGGTGACAAGCTAAAGAACTGTCTTGCCTTGGTGCCCAGTGGGACCAATCAAGGGATGAATCTTGCCAAAATATACTATACATTTTGAAAAACAGCCTCTGACTTTGCCAGGATGCTCCTAGACACTCCAATTAGACCAGGAAAGCATGTGGGTTGCACTGTACACCACTGCTGATCCATCCTGCGCTAAGGTCAACTGAAGAAAAAGGTAAGATTTCATGCTCATTTTACCCTATCTAGTTTGAATGCTTCTAAGGTCTCTACTACTGTCGTATCAGCACCTCATAAACAGTAACAAAATTATAATGTTTCAGGGAAAAACTCTATTATCACATTTAAAGGATGGAATATTAAGGCACAAAAAGAAATAAAAATCAAAGGCAAGGTTTGTGTCCAGTGCAGTCTTTAAAAGCACCCATGTGTGTCCTTAGAGGGATAAATCCACTTAAAAACCAAATTTCCTTGTCCAAGATCAAACAACAGTGTCCCATCCAGAGACTACTTGCACCACAGAAGTGCAGGAAGCAGAAGAGAACCAACTGCTTCAGTCCAGTCCTCCCGAAGCGCCAATTCCCAAGTCCCCACCAATTTGGAGCAGCATCCTGGATGCTGCGTGCTTCACCAAGCAGCTCCTCAGCAGGCAGGCAGGCTGCCTCGGCCAGCAGATGCTGCGAGAGATCCAGGCTTAGGAGCATCCACACCACACACAGGGAAAACACACATGGCAGAAGGGACCCTCAGGAAGGCACTTGTCCCGCAGGTGTCACTCTTGGGACTACAGAAGTAAATACTGTTTCATCAGAGCAATCTGATTTCAGTTAGGGAGCGTGGCTCTTACTGCATTGACTCAAAATGAAACTCAGCTTCCCTTTTTAACAGCCACAGAGATGCCAGACTTTAATTCCTGGTGGTGTAAAGTGCAGGCAGTGCAGGAGAGTGGCTTTTGAGATATTTCATTTTACATTTACTTTCTGGTGATAGGTTAGCTTTGAGCAAGCTCCTGCCTGGTTAGCAAGCTCCTTGGTTCGCCAACAATACAGAGCTGCCTAAGTTACAAAACCAAGTTAATACATAAAAAAATATGACTTCAGCAAAGAAGTTAAGCTAGATGGGTGAATAGCTGTAATTTGTTACATGCTTCCATTGCACAGGGATCCAAAGTAATAAAATATTCCTGTAACGCTAGAAGTGTGAGGCCCAGCCCCAGTGTGATGTTTGGATTCCAGTATGAGCCGTGCCACAGCATCCCCTGGCTCAACACTGGAAGGAGCATTATGTGCCTACCTTCCTGGTGCTAAGCTCCCCACACAGCCCCTCTGCTTGCCCTTTTCTTCTGAATTCCCCTCCAAAGAAAGATCAAGTAATGAAGTTATTGTGGAGGCAGCCACGATGGTGGGATGCCAAGATGACATCTCACGTCAACACAACAGGAAAGCACAAACCCATCAATATCCAAAGCATCATCAGGGAATCCCAGGACTGGCTGCAGAGCTTGATGTTATAGAGGGAGGCTGGGGAAGGGCATGGGCTGCCTCCCAAACCCCACATCCCTTCCATCCTGCTTTTCATTTGAGGCTGACAGGCAAAGCTCCAACACATTATTACAGCCTTGAGGAGGCTGCTAAAGGTAACACTCATGTTACAAATGAATTAATAGGAAACACTTACCTTCCCCACTAGCTTGCCTTTCCTGTTCATGCAAAGGTAGAAATCTGTCTCCTTCCCTTTGATCCGGACTTGACTGCCAAAAGTGTCTGTTTCCACTAGAAGCTGGGCTTGTAAAGGAAGAAGAGAAAAAAAAAGCATTTACCAATGTGGTCCCATTAAGTCAGAGCATGAAAAGCTCATCAGCACATTGTCCCACTACCTCCACCTGAACCATACCACACTGGGATGCTCTGCAAGGGACCAATCCAAGGAACCACCCAGGGCTGTGCTCCCGACTTGGGCAGACATGCAGATCCAGCATATCTCCACTGACCCATGTGGATGCTCCAGGTTTAATGCCAGTTTAGCACAGAGTATGCACATACACGTGTGTGCTCCATCTATTCACACCAACCCCACCTCCCCATCAGCAATACAAAGCTCAATGCTAACATTCTCTTCACATTACAGGAGGGTTTTCAGAGGGTAAGAAATGGATTTTATTCTCATGAAGAAAAAAGGTTAGCATGACAAGAATAAAAATACTTTCCCCGCAGCCAGCAGCCCTCAAACACTGCACAGAAGTGGTTCAGCCACACACTCATGGTGCAACACACCACAGTGATCTCCTGAAGATCACCACAACAGCTAGCAGGGGACAAATTTGTTGCTGCTTGGTGCTGATGAACACTACCCTGCAAACATCCTCTGTGTGTCTAGTTACATTCCCTGGAGGTCATCAATTGATTTCTGGCAGACCCGGTCCATGACTCCTTCTCTAGCTAGGAGAAAAATCACCAATCTCATAGTTCCTCTGCATGTTTATTGAGGCCAGAGCTGGTTTGCAGCATTGATAGGAGCCATGGTAGAGGACAGATCTCTGCTTCATCTTCATAAACCACCTGCCCTGACACAACTGTATTTGCAGAGGTGCCAAGCTGCCACCCAGATGTGTATGTACAGTGCCATCATCATCTCAAAAACCTAGACACGGCCACATTCAGCGTTTTATTCTGTTTCTGATCTAAACATAAATTCCAGTCATGCTCAAGGTTCAGATTCCAGGAATTTCTCTGGAGAGGAAGGAACAGGCAGACTGGACATTTTGGTTCAGACCCACCTCTGATATGAAGGCGGAGAAAGGAGACATGGTCAAAACACAATGCAAGAATGTGTAAGTGTCAGCAAGTGCAAATCCACGGTCCTGCTCTGGAAATACTCACACTTGCAAGACCTGAGCTGTACCATAGAAACACGGCCTTTGCCAAACTCTGGAGAATGTTTGATCTGTGCTGCAAAAAGTCATGTTCTTCTTCGGCAATCATATTTCAAACTTTAAGAGCAAATATGTTCACTGTAAGGATTTATCATAGGGATAGAAAGAAATAGGAGTTTGTTTCATTTAAACACATTAATATTTTTCCCACTTGTAAAGTCAGCTTTTGGCTTCTGCAGCAGTGCAAATATCACAAACCTTTAACTCACAAGGGCACTAAACACAGCTTTCCCTTTGCAGCTCAGCCATATACACAAGTTCAGGGTTTTCCAGTTACTAGCTGCTTACATTTATTTATCTGTATTTGTTAAACCTGTTATCACAGGGGATATATTTAAAGAATAACTTATTTGTGACAGCAGGTGGGATAATGCCTGTATTATGGCAGAATATTACTTGCAATCAAGCATAAATATGGAAATTTGTCTAAGTCTTTCAGAATTGCACCATATTTTTGGGGTGACTGTGATGGAAAGCAGCTTGCAAGTGACAACTGGGTGCTGCAGGCTTTTCTCTCAACACCTGCCAAGGTGGAATCGAACCAGCAAGCACTTAAGTGAGGAAGAGCCATCTGAACCAGAAATAGCCCATCATCTTAGGGATATCAAATGAGCCAAGCCAGGATGGGGAAGGATGGCACAGGGTCAAAGACTGGTCTTCAAGGGAAGACTGACCAATATTGGTATATAACTTGGTGAATGTCCACTGCTCCAAGAAGTCCTGTGAGGCTGCTGAGATGCAACACAGCATTAACAGACAAGGGAACAGCCAAAGGCATAGAATCCTAGAATGTTTTGGGTTGGAAGGCATCTCAAAGATCATCTAACTCCAAACCCCTGCCACACGCAGGGACACCTTCCACTAGACCAGGTTGCCCAAAGCCCCTGTGTCCAACTTGGCCTTGACAATCTTTAAAGAGGTGACTGTGAAAGGTCTTCCCCACATGCGAGCAAAGAGCCATCAAGAGCAATGGTCAACCTCAGAGGACCAAGAGCAAAGAGCAGCAGCCTGAACGCAGGGGAAGAGGTCCCAGAGATAGGCCCAAGAACCACAGCCACCACCCACAGCACCAAGGAGTCAGCCACAGATCTACAGCGTTGAATCCAGCCAGACAGCAAACGGACTCAGGGCCACCCACCAAATGGGTCAAGTGAGGGCTCCACACCTCGTACAAGCAAGAACAGGACACGACAAGTTCCCCACTAGACTGCAAGGCATTCCCTGTCCATTCCAGTCTCAGTGCTGTGACTAAAGCTGCTGAGAATAATGCTGCACGTTAGACACAGGTTGTGGCCAGCCAAAGCAGGAGCTAACACTGACAAAACACTCCAACATGAGAACCTTGAGCTGTGATGGACAGTCTGCATCTCTCCAAGGCAGGTCCCCATGGCAGCCTGCACTCAGACGGACAAATCCCCTCGCTCTGCAACCAGTGTGAGTAATATCCAAGCTGATTTTAATTTGAAAAATATCACCTTAAAAAGATGCCAGTTCCCTGCTGTGAAAATTAAAACCATCTGGATGGAGTAATTTCAAATAATTAATCTAGGTCTCCTTTGGCACTGCTACTAATTAAAATATGATACCTTCCTCCCCCTTTTTTTAAATAAAGAATTTAAATAAAGTTTAAAGAGCTAATAAAAGTAATGTCATAATTTAAAACTAAATGGAAGTCACCTTTCCTGCGAGCTGCAGAGGTTACACCGGCACTGAGCTCTCTCCTGGGCTAATGAACAGCAGTGGATGGGCCAGCATACAGTGTGATGCCCACCCCAGGAAATACATCCCCCAGCACCCTGACAGGGGCTTGTGAGCCCCAGGAATCGTCCTGCGCTCAATGCCTAGGAGTGGGGAGCAGAGGAAGGAGGTTCAGCTGACACTCCCTCCTGGGAGCCAGGTTGCCGAACTGCAGGCTAAGGGCACCCATAGGTAGACATTTCTGAAAAATCTGAGTCTGAAGATGCTGGGAATGTGTTCTTATTTCTAGGGATCTTCGACCTCATTTCCTACAAGATAGATCAGTGTGGCTTTAGGGTTGAGCTCATAATCCAGTTGGCTTCCAGTCTAAGGTACCTCTTGCAGCTGACTTCTCCTTTTTACAGCAGCCGGACCTCAGACAACACATCTAGTCAGATAAAAGCAGCAGGGATGAAGCCCAGCCCTGAACACTGGCACAGGAGTTCCTGGGGAATGGAGGCTGACCCAGCAGAAGGGGCTGCTGAGGTCTCCCACCCCACTCACACATGGTAAGAGAAAAGCTCAGTCATCACCGAAAGGAGTTAAGTACACATTAACTTGGCTTGATGTCTGGTCTCTACAATATTCTACAGCCACAACAAAAGCAATTGGGAAAATCAAAGGGAATTTCCATTGAGCACTCAGGTAAAATAGGTCCCACCAAGCCAGAGCAGTGTCCCCACAGCAGTCTGCTGCTCCAGACACCTGACTCCCAACTCCATTAGTCCCTGGATACATCATAGAGAGATTACAATCTTTATTTTCAAAAGCCCTGCACTCCAGCCTTCAGATCAGGTATTATTGTTTAAATTCTTTGACAGCTAGATATTCTGATATATTTTCCAAGGAGGGAAAGAAAGAGCAAAAGAGAAAAGGTGTCTTTAGACGGTGAGGTCCTCTGCTACATGCTTTTGCCTTATTGGCCCATTTAATCTAAACCTTCCTGAAAACTCCCACTGGAGAAGACTGGAATTCCTCACAAGTCTAGGTGAAAAGGATTACATATATATGTTGAAAAGCTATCTTCCAGCTAAGAAAACATGAAGTCAGGGAGATATATGAGGGTGGCAGAAAATATGCCAAATTATCTTTCAAATATATCCTGGGAGTGGGAGGACAGGAGCCAGAAAAGCACAGGGAAAGAAAAGAGAAAGAGGGCACCTAAGAAGTGTAAGGTTTACATGTACTTATCACAAAATCCTTAGCACCAGCTAGTTTCAGATAAGTAAGAGATAAAGTGGAAAACAAGGAAGGTGCAGAAGGACTGGATACTTTGAGTCTATCCACCATTCATTTTTTTTACTCCTTTTGCAGGTAAAAATCCTACAAAATGAACCACAGAGAGAAAGAAATTGCAGCCGCTTATGCTGCCCACTGGCATCTTGAAGCAGGCCAGAGAAAACAGACTTCCTGAGGAAAGGGTGCTTAGGGGAGACCAAGATTTTGTTGCTTTTGTGCACTTTTTGTCTGATGCAATTACAAAGCTGGGGAAGCCACTCTCAGCACTTAAAACCATTTCCAATTAATGAAGAGAGAGGATGTACAGGTACGCTGAGGCTGAGACCACAGCGCCTGTGATGGAAAGAGGCTTTCAAGTTTAGTTACTGTGGTGCTATGAACCCAGACAAGTGCATTTCCATAGCTCACAGCATATATTGCATCTGATGGGAAAGTAAAATTTACTCTCTGGTAAGACTAAATCTTCCAGTGTAAACCCCAGCATGGCCAAGGGTGCTTAAAATAGTTGAAATCTGTTCAAACACAGCCTACCCCCTACCAAAACCATGTGAGTCCTTACATGATCACAACATAGGAGAGAATGACCTTGTCTCCACTTCCCATTCATGATGTAATGACAAGGGAGTAATGCCAAAATTAGGTAAAGTCTGGAGAGTCTAATAAAGCCCACAGGCTATGAACGAGTGAGGGAATGTAGGCTGCATTCTCTGGTTCTGTTTGCACACTTGTATATTCCTCCAAACGGTATCATTTTAGACAGTTATAACCCATACAACCCAATTGCCTTCTCAATTATTCAGGTGCAAATCAGGAGTAACCACTGGAATCAGTAAGGCTGGTGCTCAGGAGGGCAGAGCTCTGACCCACATACCACTG